CATGCTGAAGTTTGCACGTGTTGGCTGATTTTGTGGACGTTATGTTGTTGTTTTTCCCTGTGGAAAACTGGGTTGTTCTTGGCAGCCACTGGGATTGCTCAGTGCGGAGATGCTGAGGAACTTTTGCAAATGCACGGAAACGCATCTTGGCAGCAGAGCTACAAGACCTACAAGGTGGTGACCCTTTGATGTGTGTTGTTTTATAAGCCCCATTGAGTACAGATCTGTCATAAGGCCTGGTTATCCTGGTTATAAAGCAACTTGCCCAGCGAACTGAGCACCACCATGTAATCTTTTCATCTTGTAGATGTTGTCCATGACATGCAATGATCATGTAGGTTTCCAACAAATCTGGCTGGAAAAACTGCCAAAGGTGTCGTCATGATGTTCCGTTCCCTGTAGAGACTTCGAGATTTTCATTCCTGGCCTTTCGTTTTCAAGGTGTGTAGGAAGATAGACTCAGAGCTTTGTAAATCAAAGAACATATCCCCCATAGGATCCATGCATGATATATATATATATGTATATAATGATATATATATATATGCTAACATTTGGGGTATATTGATGATCCATAGGATAAATATATGGTGCTCCATGGATCTCATCAATATACCCCATTTATGTTAGCATATATACCAGCACCATGGATCCGTCATGGGCCCTGAAAAGCACTATGCAGCTGCATCCTTGGGGTTTCCCAGCCCAGTTGAGCTGCGGGCGAAGTTCGAAGAGTCCATCAACAGCACGGTGCGAGAGCATTTTGGATCCATCGTGGGTCCAAACAAGGCGGGGCTCCAGTTTCAAAGAAACCCAGTCGTTTGGTACCCTCTGGTTATGACTAACATAGCCATGGTATAGATGGCCCATTTATAGATGGTTTACCTATTAAATTTATATACTGATTTTCCATGGCTATGTTTAAAAACCAGATGGTAGCCATTTTTTCACCTGAGACCACTGTGTCTCAAAGGATGATTTTGATATATTTTAATAACCTGACCTTTGGAATACCTTTGGAATCAGTCTCAGATTTACACATTAGATCCGTGTCACACCTTTGGGAGCCCCCCAAGGAAATATGATATTCCTCAATCTTCTGACTAATGGAGTAGCACTCCCATTTTGGTTGATTTTCTCCAGCTGGTTCACACCGAATCCCCAAGGGCGAGTCCAAAGCCATTGGACAATTTTTCCCTGCTCCCGGGCCCACGGCCCCTAGGGCTGTAAAGATTCCATCGATAGTTGGTACAAACACTCGTATTGAGAAGGCCCACTGCTGAGACTTGAATTGGTCGTGTTGGTCAATATAGCAATCCTGGCAATCATATGTAATAGAATGGAATACTTCATGCAATTGTTATGGATGTTGGATGCTGTTGGTTGCGTTCTCATTTACAGTAAGGGTTTGCAATTCATGTATCTATAGCAAAATCCATGTGTCTTCGTTATCTATACGCGTTCTTGTTGGGATTGTATCTTAGCTTCCATGTCACAGGCTCTGTCCCTTCAAAGACACGACAATAGTTGGTAGGCCGTACCATTTCTCACTGCTGTTTCCATCCCATGCTTCAACAATTTAAAATTATTATTGACAAGCACCTTGTGGATCCTTTTTGGGGATAGGTGGCTCCAAGCACCTAGAATAAATCCTGTTTTTTTTGGGCTCGAAGCGATATATTTGGTGAAAACCATGTTTTTCAGTAGATTTTCCCTGGAACCAGCACATTTTATCAACAGTATCAGCCACGTTCGCACCCTTGGCGCAGGGAAAAGAAAAGCCCAGTGCCAAGCGGAAACGCATATGTTTCTGAGGCCACTTATCGTTTTGGGTTCGTACTATAGCAGTGCTGAGTGCCGATTTGTGGTACACGACTTGATCTGGTTGGTGGTTTGGAACATTTTAATTTTTCATATCTTGGGTGGGAATAATACTCCCAACTGACTAATATTTTTCAGAGGGGTTGAAGCCACCAACCAGTGATGATTGAGCCCCTCAAATTGGTTTAGAGATGTTTAGAGTCTAGTACTATCTCGTATTGCTGAAATGACGGACTGATTTCGTTCATGTTTCATCTTCACTTCTTGTTTCGGAGTAGCCAGGTGACCAACGTTGTTTTTGGCGTTGAAGTGTCTATTGGGATGCTACTGTGGCTCTATGTTTTTTCACAAATGGTCTTGCTTCATGACTCATGCCTCTTGGGAACTTATATGTGGTCATTGGCAATTCCCCGGTTGTAAATTCTTTACCAATATGTACCTATTTGTAGATATGCATATACATTTGGTTAGAGTACCAAATCATAAATTGCGATATGTAATGTATAAATGTATAAATATATTACATGATACCTGGTAATAGCTACCCAAAGGATGTGATATTATCCATTTTCTCAACCTTCACCGTCACGTTCATGGCCAGGTTGCAGAATCGCGGTTCATGGCGGCTCATAAGACTCATAAGACTGAGCTGATCAGGTTTGACCATCAAAAAAGAGGGGCGTGTAACCACAAAAAAGTGCTGATTTTTAAGTAGACATGAGAGAGTATCATGTTCCCTTTGATGAAATCAGCCACTTGAAATGCAAGGTGTTGAGATTCTTGTGGGTTTGAGAGACCGCAGGTTCTGGCCGGTTCTGGTATTTTATTTGTCTTAGCTTTATTTTTATGTAATGACTAATGACCGTCCAGCAAAATCTGGTGAATTGAATCTGTTCCATGCAAGTTTGACCCATGCCCAGATTTGTCATTGAAGCCACCAGCCGCCACCACTCCGACGCCAAGTGATGCCCCTTCTGCAGTGGGTCATCCAGGAATTCTCGGCGTCCTGAGGCGAAAATTGCGGCAGTGATGGTTGTTTGACAAAGCTGCTCCATGAGCAGTCCGGCGGGGACTATCCTGGATTATCATCAATAATTGGGGGTATCCAGATGAAGTGCCGTGTAATCTCGAAATGCCAGAGAGTGTCGAGCATCTCTAAATGTGAAAGTAGGATTCATCACTAGTAATCCTCTCCCCCCAATACTAAACCCCCCCTTCCCCAAAGAATAAACACCTCAGTTTTTATATGTTATTATTATTAGGGGGGTATTTATTATTAGGGAACCAAAGCGGACCCTAATAATAAATTCAAACCCTTAATAAAAAGCATAAAAAAGCTGTTTTTTCCGATTTCAAAGCAATTTTATCATGTTCCTTTTATAACGCAATAAAAAAAATGCCAAAAATTGGATTTCGAAGCGGACCTTAATAATAAATTTTAACCCTTATTAATAATATTTTGTTTTTTCGATTTCGACATCAATTAAATTACATTTTATAACGCAATTAAAATATTGCCAAAAATTGGATTTCGAAGCGGGCCCTAATAATAGATTTAATTAAACCCTTAATGAAAAAAGCTATTTTTTCCGATTTCAAAATCAATTATTTTTTTTAACGCAATTAGAATATTGCCAAAAATTGGATTTCCAAGTGGACCCTAATAATAATTTAAACCCCTTAAAAAAAAAAGTATTTGTTTCGATTTCATAATCAATTATTATTTCTTTTATAACGCAATTAAAATAGTGCCAAAAAATGGATTTCGAAGCTTCCCCTTAATATTAAATTGTTAAAAACTAATCGGACGGACCCTAATAAAAAACACCCCGGGGTTGACTGACCAGTTTTCATTGTTAGGGGGTGAAACCCACAAATAGAAATTTATCTTTAAATTGTTTTCTAAAGGGGATCAATTAAAAGTCAAATTGGCCAACCTGAAATTTTCCAAAATTGGAGATGGACCCTAGCGTTTATTATTTGATGGGGGTTTAGTAATAGCGGGAACTATGGGTGCTTGGGATCTTTATGAGCCAATTCATCACTGTAGAGGTCCAATTGTTCAACCATCAGAAGGGATGGACGGGTTTTTGCCACTGCTCAATTTTGCCTCAGGGTAGGCCAGAGGACATCATTGCTTTCACCCTGAGGCATGGTGAAGATATGCTGAAACCACAGATATCGTAGGTGCGATCGAATGATGAGTAATTACTGTAGATCAGTAGCGTACACACATTTTGGAACATCCTTTTCCATGGGCCCCCATGCGGGCTAGATTTGGATCAACTATCAACAATAATGATGAACCAGCTGGTCTTGGCAACTACATCCCAGCGTTTCTTCGTTATGTCTCCACTGATCTTCGTTCATCACCCAATTACACTGGAGTATCCAAAGCTTTAAAAATGAAATTCCACAATATTACCGTTTTTCCCACGGGAAAAAGTCCCCAGGTTTGTTTCATTCTTTGATATTATGTGTTTATCATTATTAATTATGTTTTTCTTTGCGGGGAGTTACTCTAGGGTAAACGTTTACGTAGATGTGGAAAACTGAAGGTAAAACCCATGGAACGCATGACCTACAAAATGGTGGTTTTTCCACATCTTTGTTTGTGGCAGGGTATCAAGTTTTCACTCCCAATTTTTTACTGCCCATCTCCCCCCATGAGATCCTGTGTTTTCACCAACCTCGATGGGGTGAGTCGCCGCCGCCATGTTTTGAGGGCGGAAAAAAACAGAGATGCTGCAGTGGCTTGATGTCATCACCTGGATTTGTTTTCAATAGGTTTTGAAGATGTTTGACCCTTTGGTGATCTCTGAATAGTCATAAGAATCATGAAATTGAATGTTTGATAGTCTTTAGGCGACCTATTCATGTACAATACAGCTTGCCAACGTTCCATGCTAGTTCTGAATATGTAGGCAAGGTGATGCCCTGAACATAGACAGTGAAGTCATGTAAAGTTCATGTGTAGCTTTGGTGCAGCTATGTGGGTTTTGCATGATTTAAAAGTGGGAAGACCTTGACCAAGTCGACGGTCACCATTCACTTTGGGAAGGACTTCTTTGGATCTGTCACAGAGCCATTTTGAAGCTGAACATCAGTGTAAGGTCTATATAGCTCATTGCCCAAGTGAGATATTGCCCACTAGTCATTATGTAGCACTCGTCCGTTTTGGACCTTTCGAAGAGAGGCGTCAGACCATCGGGCTATTGTTGGTGAAGTTCCTAAAGGAAACTTTAACCTACAACTCAGTATACCATTCAGGAAGTGTCCTATAGTCGATTATATGTCCCATTTGAATGTACATGTTCACTCAGGAATTCCTGATAGTTGGTTACATGCCCCGTAAATTCACGGCGATGTGGTTTTGCAGCTCTTCAGCCATGATTTACCCAGCTCAGCCAACGTACCACCTCTTTACCAGCTGTTTGAGAGGATTTGAGCTTCATTGTTCATATTTATATAGTGTATCCATATATTAGTATTGATATGTATACAAATTCAAATGTATTCAAATGTATTTAGCTGTATACATGTGAATTTCATTTCTTCATCTATCTTCCATTTCCGTATGCTCCATGTATGGAATATTTACCAACATTTGCCCTAAACATCACCCAAATGTAGGTAAATATACCATACGTGGAGCATATGGGATTGGCATCCATTTGTTCATCCATCTTCCATTTGTTCAATTTCTGAGGTGGAGAACGGCTCCCCAGATGCCATCGCCATCCAAGCCGATGGCAGCGAGTCCGGGGACGCAACGGGGATGGGGATATGAATGTAACTATAGTTGATGGGTTTATGGTGGATATGAATGTAACTATAGTTAATGGGTTGATGGGTGTTTATGGGGGGTATGAATGTAACTATAGTTAATGGGTTTATAGGATATGAATGTTTCTATAGTTAGTGGGTTTATAAACTAACAAACATAACTGGGGCACCAGCTTGTACATGCAAAAAAAGCCCGCCCATACCACTGAGCGATGTTCACCGCTGAGGTTGGTGTCAAACTTTTTCGACGAAAAAAAGCCTGGGAATGAGATGACGATCCCAAATGACTAGCGTATTGTTCAGGGGGGGTTACAACCACCAATCAAACGTGGTCAAAGGTTTAGAGTGTTTACAGCAATAGAACCTGGAGCATTTTTTCACAGATGTTTAATTCTGTTCAGCATATTATAATTGATGTGCAACAAAAGCGAGTTCATGCAAGTTGAACACTGATGTTTTTTCTTTTCTGAACAGTTAAAGCAAAGACAAAGCAGAAACCAATCATCATGGAGATACAATTCAATGGAAAGATGTAACGGAGATATGATGGAGATGTAATTGAGGTGGCTCTCAGCGTGTTTTAAATGAGTTGTAGGTCAAACATTAAAATCCAAGGGACCAACACATGGTTCAACAGGAGTTCATGGGATACAATGTCGAGACCTCAAGGTCAACTGCAACCCACAAGGGTGATTTGCATGGGAAAGCATCTCAACGTGAATCCTGTACATATGTTTTATATATTGATATAATTATGCAAGTCTGCTTGCGCCCGTAGATACAGTACAATGGACACATACTGAAGATGTCCCTTGCCGAATCAAGTATTGGTTGTGTCCTTCTTAACCAGCGTACTGGTAATGGAAATAAGACGCCATGATTTGAGTGGGACAAATTGCGGAAAGATCTCAAAACAGATGCTCCTGATCCTGGTCAATCCTATTATTCTTCTTGGGGGCAACAGTTGTGTTGATGTGATGTTGGTTTGGTTGTTTCTGATTCTGGTGTTGTATCTGTGGTGTTGGTGATGATGTTTGTGTTGGTCCAAGTATCCGCAACATGTCTGTAAAGAAGATCGTAATATCAAACTATTGCTAAGAATCATTGATACGGAAAGCTTGTTGGGCACTAGGTCAAAACCCTGTGCCTGTATCCCTTCTGTTCACCCCAACATAGTTTGGATTTACGAATCTTCAGCTCCCATTTTTTGTGGTATCTATAGTCCATTGGTATAAATCTATAGATATCCATAGCTGGCACCGTGAAGGATCCATCTCCGCATCCAAGGTCCATTGGTTGCAGCTCTTCGCGTGGAGAAATGGGTGCGGTGGTGAAAGTGCCAGCGTGCCTTATCTGAGCGGCAGCTATGGGCATCCGAGCTATTCCCCACGAGCGGTTTGGAGCTACTGAATTTTATCCAACCAAAGAAACTGCTTCAACGGTGTTGAGCATGGGCAGTTAGATTGTTGGGATTAACATGGATCAAGCACTCTTTTCAGATGCACCCATGTGTGCCATGGTGAAAAGTTGGATTAACCTCCCACAATAAGGGATGGTCATTACCACCATGAATAGGGAATTGTAATGGGCCCATATAAGGACGCGCAAAAATCGTAGGATGACCATAGCGTGTGCATATATATATATATATACACGATATAATATATCATAGTATATCGTATATATCACACTGGTGGTTATAGTGTGTTATACGTATGAAATATATGTATAAATATTTCCCATATCCCATGAATCCCATCAAATCACCCATAGCGAGGTTCTCGCGGCGCATGGTCATGGCCTTGACCTTCAGCAGCTTGGTGGATGGGGAGAGCTGTTGAGCCATGATGAATATAAAAACAGTTGACATATAGCTGGTAGATACGTATATGA